TCGTAAGGTGTTTACCTCCTATGTGAAGCACTGTGAGATGATGTGTGTTGTGAATTGGCGCTACATAAATAAACTTGACATGAACTGAACCTACACAAAACCTTCAGAAAACCTTAATCTGTCCATGAATTGTCCAAAACCTGTCTAAACCCTTAAAAACCAGTCCAAAACCTATTCAAAACCTCTACAAAACACCTGTTTGTCACCTTCACAAAACCTGCCAAAAACCCACTTCATAACCTCTATAAAATGTCTCCACAACCTCTAGAGAACCTTTTCAAAACAACTCCTTAATGTCCCTAAAACGTGTCCACAACCTTGTCAGAACTCATCCGTTAACTGTTTTAAACCGAATCAGTCCTAAACGGTCCAGAGTTTACAGAACTGTGGATGAAGTCGTTCAGCCTCCAGGAGCTGCTTACGGATGAGATTACACAGTTTGGCTGTTTGTCCAACTCACTCTGAAAAATCTGAGATTTACGTTACAGGAAGTCAGAACATGTTTATCTGAAGTCTGAAGCAGCTGGTGTCTGTTTTCAGAGACAGATAATGAAAGTAGTTCAACGTCTGGAGCGACTTCAGGAGGACTGCAGCTCCTTCTAGACCTCCTGGTTCCTGCTGCTCTTTGCTGGTCTTCTTGTTTTACTTTCCACCTTTGTGAAGTCATATGACCATGTGGAGCCACGATGCAAACCGAGAAGGTTCTGCTGCTCATTTCAGAACCACGTTCATGCAGTTAGACTGATTAAAAATCCCAGACGGACGCCCCTGTAGCTCACTTAGCTGAGTTGGCGACCCATGAACAGGGGCTTTAGTTCAAAGGTCGTGGGTTCGACTCCCGCTCACGACCTCTTGCTGCAGATCTCTCCCCGTTCTCCTCTGACCTTTCCTGTCTATCTCTACTGCTCTAAACAAAACCCAAAAAACATCCATCCATCATCTATACACCGCTCAATCCTCATGAGGGTCGTGGGGGGTTCACCTGGACAGGTAACCAGTCTATCACAGGGCTACACTTACAGACAGACAAGAGCCCCAAAAAAAAAAAAAAATCACAGATGGACTCTGTTTAGTTTCAGTGATCACAGCTGGATTCACTTGCGTTGCATCTTGTTCTACTTCAGAGCTAAAGTTAGTCTAAAGTTTCTGTTTCTGATCCTCCATGAGACGTTCATCCAGCTCAGAACTTCTACTTCTGTGAACTCATTCAAACTAAACTTTGTCTCTGTGATGAATCAAAGTCATCGACGGTTTCATTTGCTCCAGTTTTTTTGCTGATTCAAGTTTTTTAGGCCTGAAAACCAGTAATGTTCACGTCACTGTTCACTGGACGCAGTTAGTCAGTCACTGATAGAGCAGGTCGGTTTCTGAAGCCTCCAGATAATTAAGTTTTACAATCTTACAGTATCACAGCATTACTGTAGTACAGTAGTACAGTATTACTGTACAGTGGATGGCGCAGCAGTAAACAGAAACTCCTGCTGGTGTGAAAGTGATCGAGTGCTGACGAGCATCCAGCGGGCTTTGTTCCTGCTGCTGAGGTGTGAGCTGACCTGATTAGGACATCAGAGGCCACGCTCATAATGCACAGGTGTAACTGTAATCCCAGCCTGCATGGACGATCCAGCTGGGCTGACTGAAGCCTGTCACCGGATCCCTCGCAGACAAAACGCTCCATAGTGTCACTTTATTAGAGCCTCGTCCTGGGAATCAGGATGGGACGGTCCATGTAGGCCACCTGGGCAGGTGATACCATCGCATCCTGCCGCTTCGCTTTCAGGATCCCAAAAATCCTGGAAGTTTCCAGATGCAGGTTTTTACGCCCAAATACTAAAAAAGACAGACGAGAGATTAAACATCCAGAGTTCCAGTGGAGCAGATTCCTGCAAATATCGACTCATTTATAAGCACTGCTCCCACAACGTCTGCTCACATTCACGAAATGTTTTAAAGAAAAAGTTTTCATCTCATATTCGAAGAACATTTTAGGAATGTTTAGTACTTCCAATAATGTTCCCATAAACGTTACCGAAGACATGATGTTTTAGCTTCAACAATCAGCACAAGAACGTTCTTATTGCAACGTTCAAATTACACATAAAGCTTCTTCTAAAATGAAACTTTAAACCTATGAGCTGTGCGTCTACGTCGTGGCTCCATGTGGACAAGAACAAATGTAAAATTCTGACTGTGAATATTTACGAATAATCATCTGGAAGACCAACTAAACATCAGCGTGAGCAGCAACCAGGAGGTCCAGAAGGAGCCCCAGCAGCACTGATCCGGGCTGCAGCGTTCGTCCTCCTGAATCGACTCCAGACGTCGAACTACAGTCGTGACTCGATAATCCGACACTAAATGTAAAACCTTCTGTTATGTTGGATAGCAAGGTTTTTGGATTGTTAAGGGTCAGATCATCGAGTCACGACTGTACTTTCACGATCGATCTGTGAAAAACAGACGACAGCTGCTTCAGACTTGGTGTCGAGGTTGTCGATGGAAACCAGAGTTAGTGTGAAGGACACGATAACGTCAACCTCTATGGACGGAGGACAGGAACTGATGAAGCTTTAACTTTGTTGAAGGACATGAAAAGAAGCTTGATGGATGTTGGAGAACATTCTTCGGTCAGATAAATGTGTTGGGCTCAGATGTGAACCCGACAGTGAAGCACGGAGGAGGCAGCATCATGAAACGAGGCTGCATGAGTGCAAAAGGTCACATTTATAGACGCACCATCGTGGACAAATCAAAATACTGTCTGCAGAAGAGCAAAACAGGAGCGACGACCTTTTCATATGTGGCCTGATTTGAATCCAACAGAACAATGATTTTAAAGACGGATTAACATAAAACCTCTCAGCAGGAAAACTCTGTAAAGACTCAGAACATCTCCAGATTTAGTCCCTCTGAGACTCTGTGGCCTCTATTTTCCTTTTATTCTTACTGTCGTTCAGGAAGAGAAGTTGTGTGACTGTAAATATTGCATAAACACTTGCAGGTCATCAATAATGATGATGATGATGATGATGAAGATGTTGTTTTCTGGGTCACACATTACCTGTAAACTGAAAAAATGCCTGTAAGAGGTTCATGATGTGAGAAAACATGTTGAGCTGTGATGTGACACCTGTTTGTTGTAATGAGGACACACTGGGCACCAAAGACAAAAGCACAAAACACAGGCCTACTTCTTACTCAACACACACTGTGACACACCTGAGGGGGGCGGGGCCACAGGTGGGCGGAGTCCAGGTGTTTTATTAGCAGGCGGGCGGCAGCAAAGCTCAGCTGTAGGAGGAAAACCTGCAGAGAGGCAACGAATCGGTGAGTTTGATTTTAAAAATCATCATCAGATTAAAGTAAACTGAATTTACTGATAGAATATCTGATTATTAAAAAACATAAAAATGCCAAATATCTAAAACATTTCTGAAAACAGGTGAAGCAGAAAAGAGATAAAAATATACATACACATATATTTAATAGATGAGAATCATGTTTTATTCTAACATCTTTTAACTCTGGTTTGAAAGATGCTACCGAAAGTTAATTATTATCACTATGTAAATATTAAATATAATTAAATTAATATACTTTAGTTTTTACCAGAATGTTTTTACTGCAGATGCCATGAATTTAAATGTAAACCAATGAAACAGCACCGATCAAACTGTTGTAATAAATTAGCTGATTAATTTAAATATTAAGCATTAAAACCCAACAGAAACGATATGATACGATAGAGTGAAGTTTAATTTGTTGTATTTACGCTTTAAAGACACGATTCTGTGTGAATCTTAAATCAGGAGCTTCTCTTCTTTTAAAAGCATAATTATGTACGTTAAGGATTGAAAATAATCTTTGAAGCTGTTGTTTTCTACGTTTTCTTTGCGTTGTTAATCACAGAGGATATGCAGTAAAACCATGGGAAATAATATTAATGTACAAGTTGACAAACCAGGTGTTGATTAAAACAATTAATTAAAAAATAAAAAGTCAAACCTGCCCTCTTAGAAAAAAAGGAAAGAAAATCTATCAACAAGGGAAAACAACATGTTGAATCCTGTAAAAATAAAAATAAATATCTGTTAAAATATGACATTCTGAAGCTAATTTAAATAAAGTAAAACTGTATGATCACACAGTGTAAAAGAACAAATGACTATTTATAGAAACACAGATTATGATGTATGTTTATATTTCGTTAGTAAACATTTAATTTCTCCCGCTATGATTTTACAAAACAGAGAAAATCTAGTAAATAAAAGTTTTTTAAAAAAATTATTTATAATTTTTCAATCCTTAACCAAATTTTACAGATTTCTCTTGTTTTGTTTTTTAAATATTACAGAAAATATTTAATAAAATCAGAGAATGCAGTGTGTTAGTTTACATGCTGACTGCAAATAATGTGGAAATATTAGTTAAATCATTATTATTATTGTGAATTTAAATGCAGTAAACTGTGTAATTTTACAGTCAAATTCTGTAAAAGAACAAATTACCATTTGGAAGAATACAACATGGACATTATTTACATGTTTTTTGTTGTTGTTGTTTTTTACGTGTACATTAAACAGTTAAAAATCAGTAAAATAATAAGTTATAGAAGAAACAAAGCTGTTTAAAATGATTTTAGTTTGCACTGGCATCAGGATTTCATGAGTCCTAATTATGGAAGCTGGAATTGCAGCAGAGCATCACTGATAGTTCTTCATCCCACCGCTGAATATTCTGGTTTATCAGTTTACTGATTGGAACTAATAGAAAGTCAAATCAGTTGTGACCAGAAACAGCTGGTCAGAATAACATTTTACATCTTTCTTCAGACCATGCCGACCTTTCTTTGTCACGTTCTCTTGGCGGTGGCGCCCCTCACCGTCGTCACGGCGATGATGAATGAAACCATTTCTCCGGATACTTGGAGGCCGCCGAACGACACGTACTACCCTGTTCACCCTTTGCCCCACTTACCCACCGACGAAGAGCAACGCGAGATTTACTGTAAAATGCTGATGGAGTCCAACGCACCCCCAGGAGACATACCCTGGTTCTGTCTCTGCACACACTGTCAGTCCAACAAGGGGCCCAAAGGGGACCGCGGGGACCGAGGCCTGCCAGGTGAGACTACAAGTCCGGCAGCTGGAAACCCAGAACATCATGCAAGATGTTAGACCTTCAGAATAAACTAAAAAGAAGTTTACATCTAATAATCAGAGTCCACAACAAGGACTCAGGGGCCCTTCATGCAGGTTGGGTTTTACCCCCTAAGCCTCTTTGGACTATGTTGCACATTTTCATGAATTTATATTGTCATAGAAAGATTTAAAATCAGAACAAAGAAAAAACAGAATGGGATGTGTTGTGAGAGGGTACCGATCTAGAACCAGGATATGTGGGGAGACGATCCTTTTCTAAGACCAAGTCATGTAGTGAGTTGGAACTGATCCAGGACCAAGTTATACAGTAAGTCTTGGTACGGGATGGGATGTCCAGATAGTCCTGATCAAAGACCAGAATGTGTAGTGAGACAGTCCTTATCCAGAAACATTTAGTGAGGTGTTCCTTGACCAGGACCAAGTAATGTAGTGAGGTGGTACTGATCCAAGAGCAAGCCGCGTAGCGAGACAACTCATTTCCAGAAACAGAATGCAGCATGAGATTGTCCTGGAGCAGGAACAAGTCTTGTAGTGAGATGGTACCAATCCAGGAACAGGATATTTAATGAGGTGGTCTGGGTACAAAGCAGCAGATAGTATTTCTGTCACACTCCTTCCAGCAGCAGCACTGAGCCGCTTGTATGTCCTTAAAGGTAATCAGTCTCTGTTCCCCCTTCAGGTGCCCCTGGTAGTCCTGGAAAAAAGGGAATGATGGGATATAGAGGTCATCCGGGCTTCATGGGAAGACCAGGACCCAAAGGTAACTGGCCTCCTGCTGATCGTTCTTGTGGTTCTGCTGTTTGTGTTGCTGCTAACTGTTTCCTCTGTGTCGGCTTGTTTGAACTTCAGGACAGAAAGGTGGAGAAGGAGAGAAGGGGGGCATGGGGCTCCAGGGACCAATGGGAGTAAAAGGATCCCGAGGCTTCAAAGGTGAGAGATGTAGCAGGTATCAGGTACTTTGGCCCGTAAGGCTTCAAGTCCAGCTCCTGATTGGGTTTCTGTTGATTTGCAGGTGAAAAAGGTGAGCAGGGTTATGAGGGTCGTCAAGGGGACCCAGGTCCAAAAGGAGATGATGGTGTCTGTCCAACTGACTGTAAGGGCGTCATGGGGCCACCAGGAGAACCCGGTCTTCCTGGTCCTGTAGGAAGTAGAGGTCTTAAAGGTACCAATGGCATGCCGGGTGATAAAGGTATGAAGGGAGACATGGGTGATATGGGTCCACCTGGTACACCTGGATCAATGGGTCAGAAAGGAGACATGGGCCTCTTGGGGGACTGCAACTGTACAGATGGAGCAATGGGGCAGAAAGGGGACAAAGGGGACCAAGGAGCCATGGGGGACGAGGGAATGATGGGCCCTGCAGGGGAAACAGGTCCAAAGGGGGAGAAGGGACACATGGGGGACATGGGGAGGTTGGGTCCTCCTGGTCCCTGCATGCCCAGTATCCAGTCTGCGTTTTCGGCAGTACTGACAAAAAGCTTCCCCGAGCCCAATGCCCCCGTGGTTTTCTCCCATACTCTCTACAACTACCAGTGGCATTACGACGACACCAACGGTATCTACACCGCCCCCGTCAACGGCACCTACGTCTTCAGCTACCACCTCACTATCTATGACCGAATCCTGAAAGTCGGCATTTTTCATAACTACTCGCCTGTGGTGAAAACTACGGGGACGTCCATGTTAGGGACCGTATCGCACACCGTCATCCTTCACCTGATCAGGGGCGACAAGGTGTGGATCCAGGTGAAAGATACACTTACTAACGGCATGTATGCCGGCTACGAGGCCAGCAGCACCTTCTCTGGCTACTTGCTCCACCCTGATATGTGTGATATGGCTGCAGTCAGAGGGCCGATGCCCACAATACCCGACCACGAATTTGGCTGGCGTGATGATGAGGACACAACTGCTTCCCCGACTACCGCCGCATCCAAATAGATCCAGTAATGAATGAATTACTTTGGTCACTTGTAGGAGCCAAATAAATTATTTTACACAAATATAACAAGATCATTTTTTTTTAAAAACAGCGTGAACAGCAGATGCCTGGAGACGTAGATTAGACAAACCATCAAGCATCTTCAGCCCTTCATGAGAAAAAGACATAGAGAAGAAGATTATGACGACTAAACAATTACACTCTTAAAAAAAACATTTTGGGGTTTGAGTCAGTTTCAGTCAACTTGAGATCAACCAACAAACAGAGGTAGGAAATTAGCTTTCCCCCTAAATTTAAAAGTATTTTAGTTATCAGTCTTAACTAGGGATGTTCTGATCGAGTTTGTTATCCCAGATCCAATCCAAGTTATGTATGATTTAGTCTCTCCTGATACTATTTCTCCAGATAATACACACTTTAAGTATTGTAGATTAGCTGTAGTACTTAGCAGTGCCACCATGTTCTATTAATACTCTAGAAACCAGCAAAGGTGTCACTCGAACTGTTGGGAAGCAGATGGCATTGTGGGGGATTTAGCCAGTAACCAGGCAGCACCATGACAAGTCTTTGGTGACGCTTAATCAGCTCCGATCAACACTTCAGCCATCTCAGCCCAGAACAAATGTCCAGTGCGCTTATTTTCTACCATAGATGAGCTGATAATGGACTGAAAATGCTGCATTTATCAGGAAAACTGCAAAAAATTTAAGATGCAAATGCGAAATAAACGTAGAGTCAAGCTTAGACTCGTGCTGATACCGATCAGCTTTTTTGGCCCCAGTTTTAGAATTGGATTTGGGATCATACGTGTCCACAGGAGCATTGTTTGTCAAGGAGTTGCGCCCAACTTTTGATTCTTTGAGGGCAAACAAATCCCCTCCGTCAACTGACATCGGCTGCACCTGACTAGAGAAACGCTTCGCTCAAGGGCCAACATGGCGGCTCGCAGAAACACCAAAATGTGTTTCTTAAACATTTCGGGCGAGAATTAAGCTGAGCAGTCGTTGAGTCTGTCTCAGTCTAGACCAGCAACAGTTAGCTGGAGGCAACACAGCGCCACTAAAATTCATTGCACGGCTGCACTTTGACAACCTGTGGGAATTGTTGAGGCGATGCATCCTGTGGACACGTACCATGAGGATCGGGTTTGGGATCTTATGATCAGGACATCCCTAGTTTCAACAGTCCGACTCTCTCCAGGCTCGCTAAGGTAGTGCTAAGGGGACTTGAAATCCGAAACTGACCGTGAAGAAAAATTAAGTTGTCAAACCAATTTTAAGCTAGCTTAACTTGAATTTAGTTTTAAATTGCGCAATGTTAAGATGATGCAACACAGATTTTTATGTTTTTTTTTTTTAATCTTGCAACCATACACAGTGGGAATAGGTTCCCGTGAAGTATGTTTTAAAGTGTACCTGAATAAAAGAAAAAGCATCAGAATGTTCTTTCACCTGGAACCAGAGAACCCTGTTGACCTTGAAGTTCTGTTGGAGGGCGTCTTCAGATCTGTTGCTTCGTCTGGTCTGCGATTCGTTGAGAGCAGGTCCAATCACACGTTTGAGTTGAGAGCTTTGAGTTATAGGACGAGGAAAATGGAAGAGCGTAACAACAAAGTACAAAGACTTCTTCATGTTTTGACTGATAATGAGGCGTTTTTCCACTGCAGGAACTCGGAGCGACGAATCCAGAATTAACATCTTTTAGCTCAGTTTAGCTTTTAAATACCACCAAACACCTGAATCAGTAACGGATAAAGGAACAACAAGTTAACAAGTATTGACCTAGTCTAGAAATAGTTTAACTTCATCGCAAGAAAGAAAAATAAAAAGAAGAAAAAACGGCTGATCTCAGGGCATCAGTGTGACTTTAGCCTTAATATTACGACTCTGAACTGTGCTTTGTTTGTTTGTTTAGTTTGTTAAGTTCACATTTTCAGGTTTTACAGTAGAAATCTTGCTTTTGGTTCCATTAAAAGGTCTTCAGATTTTACCGTTTTCATCAGTGTTTTGGAGAAACGAATCTTTGGTTTTTAACCAGAGTCGAGATCTGCAGGTTGTCATGGCCGCCTCACCAGCACTAACGCTGGAGTCGGTACATTTTCCTCCCTGAATGAGTTTCTAAAGTGTTTCTAAGGAGTTGTGAAGGTTCTGGCAGGTTCCTGCAGTGGAAACAGCCTCACGAGAACAAAGATCCACGAATCCAGACCAGAGCAAACGATCCCCAGGTCTGAAGACGCCCTCGGCTGTTTGAGTTTGGTTGCTTTGTGCGACGGGCTCAGTTGGAGCTCAGACACACAAAGTCTCGTCACCCAACACCCTGTGAAGTCAAGTGTTTGCTTTCTGTTCGGAGGCTTCGCTCCGCTCACCGTTAATCCCACTTTGATGATGTGAAACGGAAACCGTCACGTCTGAGAGTCGCCGTTTAAACATCCCTCCTGGACGGTTAACACGATCTGCACAAACACGTTAAAGACACACAAGAGAAACCTCCGAACGCTTCTGACCGGACGGTTGATCAAACAACGAGAAAATGATTCAAACTGCATGTGTCACGACTACGACGAACCAAGTGACCACAGAGAGACACAAAACCAACAGAAAGTGACAAAAACAACCACAAACAGACAAAAAATGACCACAATGAGACACAAAATGACACAAAAGACACTAAAAGAATTCAATGGGACACAAAACAACCCAAAGTGACCACAAAGAGACTAAAAATGTTTAGAAAGAGACAAAAAAATTACCAAAAAGAGACACAAATTGACCACAAAGACACCTGAAACAACTACAAAAAGACTGAAAATGACGACAACGAGAGACAAAGTGACAAAAAGACACTGAAAAAACTCAATGGGACACAAAAACCCACAAAAAGACAAAAAAACAACAACCACAAAGAGACAGAAGCAGCTAAAAATAAAGACAAAACGAACACTAATGGATGAGTTTGGTGTTTGTGTGAACTCTGGAGGTTTGTGCGTCTGCGGCTCTCAGACGTGTTGGTTTCTGCTGTTGTTGTGATGATTGTAGAAGTTGTGTGAATACACGTTGACCTGCTGAATGTCCCTGAACAAAGCCTGTAGCTGCTCATTAAACTAGTTTCATCCTACTTCATCTCGGGCTGTTTTTGTGACTCGTCTTGTTGTGCGTCCGACGGGGAGGCGGCTCTTTGTGAGGCCGAGCTGTAAGCACATCCCGAGGTGTCGCAGCGTTCGTGTCCTCCTGATCGCCTTCCTGTTTATCAGCAGCTCCCGCTCCTTTATCTGCCTGGAGTCTTTGTCCGTGGGCCGGTGTGAGGTTTCCCGACTCTCCCGGGCGGCGAGTCATCCGATGATCCCCGGCGGCGGCCCAGCAGGGCAGGGTTTCCCTCCAGTGTCTCCGCTCGGCCCACAACAATGGAACAAAGGCAACACGAGTCTCCGGGTGGTTTGGGACGGATCGTGGGGAGGATCTGAGCAGATACAAAACATCCAGGTCTCTGGCATCCAGCTTCACACCAGACACCTGAGAGGAAAACTCTGAATATCTGCAGCTGAGTCATCGCAAACAAACACCAAGAAATCTGAGAGAAGTTCCCACAACGTCCCCTCAGAAGCAGCCGAGTCTTCATCTGCAGCCACTTTAGTGTATTTACTGCTGAGTTTTACCTTCACAATGAGAATATATCAGAGTTACACACTCTTGAAATATAAACAGCATCTGAGGCAGCAGCAGGAGGAGGTCGGGGTGGATGGACGGCGCTCAGAGCAGCAGATGGAAAACACACTGAAGTTAGAAACTGCAAACAGATCAGTTTCACATCCACCCAGGCCTCACAATCTAAAGACTAAATCTGTTTTCTATAACCAACACTGAGCATCAGTATTATGGGATGTATCATGATTGTTTCCGTGACTCTGCTGCAGTTTTGCCACAGAAACTATGATACATCCCATAATACTGATGCTCAGAGATGATTTGTTGAACCAAAAAAACAACAAAATCAAGATTTCTCTTCACACTGTGACACCTGGAGTAGCTGTAAAATGTTCAAATGTGTTTTTTAATCAGTTATGAGGCTCAGAAATGATTAAAAAGGGATAAATGTGGATGTTTGAGGTTCTGGAAATGTTCTCAGTGCTCAGGACAGAAACACTCAGACTGTGTTACCTGATAAAACCGTCTGGAGGCTTCACTGGTTTCTCTGATAAAACAATAAAAACACTGGTGAGAAACATCGTTAGTATTAAACTAATGAACCTGTGCAGCAGCAGCAGCAGCAGCAGCGCCTCCTGCTGGCCACAGTTAGTCTGGACGTACAAACAGCTTCTAAACTACAAATATGTGACGTTTGAAGTCTATTAAAGTGACTGATGCACATTAGAAGCTCAGTGTTTTAAATATGAACCTTTAACTGTTGGACAAATTTAAAAAGTTTTATGATTCTTATTTCAACAGGACGACAAACAATAAAACAAAATTAACTTCTTCTAAATAAAACTAATGTTGTTTCTGAGCATTAATTAGAAAATCTGCTGCTGAAGACTTAATATTGAAGCTAATCATCATCATTGTTCATTGTCATCATCACCTCAGGCTCATCTTTTTTCACTCACATGCTTCTTGTTTACTTTTGTTCCATGTTGTGTTTATGTGTCTGTAATGTACATGTATGTAATGTACATGTATGTAATGTACATGTGTGTTTGTTCCTGCTGGCGCCTCTTGTCCAGGTCATGAGAACATGAGAACTGGTCTTTACCTGCTAAAATAAATATGGAGCAGTGAGAGCGCCAAATTACAAAAACAAATCAATACAAGAATAATTGAAGTGGAAATAAAAAGAAGAATAAATAAGATAATAATTTATAATTATTTTTTAATTTTTATTTTCACATTTTTTATTATTTTTTAATTTTAAAAAAATGTTATTATTTGTTTAATTTTAATTTTTTTATTTATTTTTTTATAATGTCGCTTTAAAAGCAAAGGAAATATGTGCAGAAAAATGTGTGCAGGAGGAATGTTGTCGTGCACATTTTTCCTTTGCTTTTTATTTAAAAAATAAAAAATTACATAATAAAATGAAAATAAAAAATAAAGAAAAAATATATTTTAAAATTTTTTATTTAAATTTTAAAAAAAAATTTATTAGTTTATTTATTTGTCTTTGTATTTCTACTTTTATTAGCTTTTCTTTTATGGATTCATTTTTGATTAATGTTGCTTTATATGGCCACATTATTTATCTTTTATTTTATTTATTCTTCTTTTTATTTTCCACTTTTATTTTGCGATTTTTTCATTGATTTATTTTTGTAATTTGGCGCTCTCACTTCTCCATAAATAAAGGTCAAATAAATAAATAAAATGAATTATTATTGACACACAAAATCACACAATAAGAAACTGAAGCCTGCAGACGTTCACTCAGAATCTTTTATTTGTTGTCGCTGTCAGAAACACAACAGGTTCAACTACATCATCGTGTTTCTACCACTAACAAACTCTCAGGCTTTAGTTCAACCTACAGACGGCCTAACGAAGTCCCATCCAGACTCACAGCCTTCAGATTAACAAGCAGCTTTTCTACGGATGCTTTTTTTTTTTTTCTACGTTCGTCCACCGAGAGCGTCGCAGCGAACAGTCGGAAACACTTTCACCGTTTTCTTCGCCTAAAACCAAACCGACGATCAGATTAGCTGATGGTGGAGAAACTGCAGAACTCTGCCTCCCAGAATCACCTCCACGTGTCGCTCAGCCGCTCCACAGAACCGACAGATTAAAGACGTCAACAACAAACACATGATGAATGAATCTCGTTGGAATTGATTTGCCAAGAAAAGAGACAAAACACACAATAAACACAATAAACAAAGTTAAAGACAAATTAGACTGAAGGTTTATTATTATGTTCAATTCTTCTAAAGATGTTCCAATAATAGAATTAAAAATCAAATGAATTCAGAGTTTTTGTTGGAATGAGTTTCTGAGCTGCTGGAGGAGCTCGGGGTGGATGGAGGGCGAACGCAGCCCAGAGTCAACAGAAGCTGTTTGGTGTTGGTGGCTGAAGTCATACCTGAACATTGTCTTTATCAGACCTTTACTGTATCGTTGTTTTCAGCCTTATTAGACTTTTTGTGTTTCACATTCTGCCTCTTCAAAGCCTCGTCTGTTTCCAGTAACTCGTACATTTCCCCAGTGAAGGATCAACAACGTTTAGCTTATCCTACATTCATGCTCAGTGCCGACGTTTGTCCAAATTGTGTCACGTCGTGCTAATTAACAACAACTCCTCTTCAACAGAAAACGTAAACGGGTTTGTGTTTCAGTAAATCAGCCAGAGCTGGTTAAACGATCTCTACAGTCGACCCATCCATCAACCCCGACCTCCTCCATCAACCTCGACCTCCTCCATCAACCCCGACCTCCTCCTAACGCCGACTCTGTGGCTCAATAAACACGTCACCCCATATTCTGCCCTACTATGACCACCAGGGGGCGGCATCACAATAAAACCTAACAAACTGCCGACAGTAGTCTTGTACCTGAAGTGTACATCTGGGGCGTCCGACTGCTTACTTTCCAAACACCCCGTTAACAGTACAAGTACTGCATTCAGCGCGTTACTGCAGTAAAAGACGGGAGTACGTTTCCTCGACACGTTAATAGAAATAATAATTATCTTGACGTTTCTATTAGAAGGGGCAGATTATTTAAATTTAAAGGTGATTTCTGGGAGACAGAGTTGTTGTGTTCCACCTGATAATGATGCTGGTTCCTGCTAGCGCCCCCAGCAGGCTGCTGCGTCCATTGCAGCCAGATGGTTTGTCCTGAGGGTGGCGCTACAGAAAACTAAATTAACCACAGTGAGCCCGGTGGAGAAGCAAACCGGACGGTGACCGCTCCGTCGGCCATCTTTGTAGTTCAGGCCTCGGTGGGCGACTCGTCGTCGTCTCCGTAGACGATTCCCTTCAGATAGGCCCGTTTAAAGTCCTCGAACACCATGTCGTCCGTTTCACTGCAGGACAGACAGAACACGGGTCAGAACCGCTTCATCACATCCTGTTTATTGTAGGAACTGGTTCCGTCTGCAGCATAACACCGAAGAAAAATATCAAGGAACCAGGTAACAATGTAACATTCTGGACTAGTTGTGGATTTGTTTTTGCAGTGGTTCTGGACTGGTTTAAGACTAGTGTTACACTGGTTGTTGGCTGGCTTGGGACTGGTTTGGGAATAGTTTTGGACTGGTTGTTGGGCTTGTTTTTGCAATGGTTCCAGACTTGTTTTAAACAGGTCTTTGGACTGGTTTTGAGACAAATTTTGAGACTGGTACTGGATTTAGTTTAGGACTTAATCAAGACAGGTTTTAGACTTCTTTGGGATTGTTTTTAGGACTGGTTTTGGACTGGAGTTTGAACTGGTTTAAAACTGGTATTGGACTGGTTTTGAACTAGTTTTGGATTTATTTTTAAATGGTTCTGGACTGGTTTTAGGCAGATTTTAGACTGGTTGTTGGCTGGTTTGGGACTGGTGTGGGACTTGTTTTGGGGCTAGTTTGGGACTGGTGTTTGAACTGGTTGAAAACTGGTGTCGGACTGGTTTGGGACTTGTTTTGGGACTGGTTTTGGATTGGCTACTGGATTAGTTTTTGGAATGGCTTTGGGCTAGTTTTAGACTGGTTCTGGACTTAGTTTAGTCTGGTTTTGAAATCGGTACTATACTTCTGGCCTGGTTTTCAACAGCTTCTGAACTGGTTTTTGGATATTTTTAGGACTAGTTTGGCACTGGTCTTGGACTTGGTTTTAGACTAGTCTTGGGTTGGTTCTGGACCTGTCTCAGGCTGGATATTGGACTAGTTCTTGGACTGATGTTTTCTGCTGGTTTCTGGGCTGGTGGGGGATTCGTTTAGACTGATCATGAGTTAAAAGCTTCAATATTTCATGGCTACATTGAACTATTTTCCAACAGAAATAAAAACTTTTTTTGGGAGTCGACTCCTGTTTGCGTCGCGCCTTCATATTACTGTTCAGTGTAACGAACACTGAAATCTGTGTCGCTTCAGTCATCATGAGTCAGCTTAAACTGAAGGTGTGTTTTCAGGACGTCGTCCTCAGATGACCCAGTTCCAGGATGTGACAGAAAGAAGCTGCTGGCAGCTGAAGGACTGTTTTATAATCTGGACGCATACGTGTGATGAAGGACGAACAATAAAGAGAAAAGACTGAAATAAAATCCAGATCACACGTCTGATTACAGAAAACTGATCCCAGAGCTCGAAGCCAAAATATTTCTCAACACAACAGGTTTGTTTCTGCAGAAATCTGAACTAGGAGGTCGACAGAACGATTTAAAGACGAGCTGCTGATGAACAAAGCGGATTTAGCTAAACAGAAATCTTACCTCTCCTTGGCTGAAGGTAACGGAGCTGAGAAAAGAGAAAACACGAGTTAAAGTCAGAAAACAGCAACAGACCGCCTCAGACTGTTAATGTTGGTCTAAAAATCAAATAAATCATCTTTTAACAGAACCACATGGACCATGAAGTTCTATAAAACCTATAATTTTAAGTAAGTAAGTTTTTGTTTCATATTGTTTAAATATTGGAAATGATCGATGAAAATACAGAAAGAAATGAATTCAGAGGCTACGTGTCTCATGTAAAATACCATTAAAACCCTGTAGCCCTGAAGATTTTAAAATAATTAATGTTTTCTTTACATAAAAACACTGAAATTAAATATGTTTGGAAACTAATTTTACAAATATTTAGTTCTTATTTAACAGATGAATGTATGAAAGAGGTCATTTCATTGTTTTTATACGTCTAAATATTAATTACACATAAAAAAACTAAATAACATCATGCAAAATGAAGGTTTAAAACTGATATTACTGTTTTTTTTATCATATTTTTTTATCTAAATGTTAACCGTCACAGAAAAAGCTGCAGATATTCACATTTAACGAGATGCTGCTGAAACTATAATTAAACTGATGCTAACGTATCCACACTGGTGCTGATGATGGATCAGCGAACGTTTCCGAGTCCTCACAGGTAGCTACAGGTGTGTGTTTGTTAAGCAGCTTGTTGTGTATCGCTGGCAGCAGTCTATAAACAAGGATCTGCGTCACAACCTGCAGATTAACGCGCAGATTATTGGCGATCAATACAGATTAAACACACACACGGTTATATATTAACTCTGCCCTAGTTGGTCACAGTTTGTGTTGAACTGAAGAGTTCTAGTCGGAGCTCATGAACCACCATGATGCTCCTTTACTAGACAAACTCCCACAATGCTCTCTGCTGCCACTATGAGCTGTCGTCTGAGTGACGCCTCCTCTGGTCTCTACAGGATTAAACAGTGAGAGGCTCCACCTGGTGGAACAACCAGGTACTGCAGCTGGTCTATGACAGAGAGAATCCAGGTTTTCTTCTGGAGCTTGTGGAGTCTCAGTATGTCCTAAACTCTAACACTACGTTACAGATCCAGTCCTACTAGAGATTTACAACAAGGTTTTATGATCACCTAAAGAACTTTAGGAACAGACTGGAGGCAGAAATGAATTTCACATGTTTCCAGCCTCTTCAAATTTTTCCTCTCTGCTTATCAGATGTAGGAAGATGTTCCACCATCAGCTGAATGTATCTCCACCAACGTGCTCCTCTGTTCTCTGGTTCTGATCCATGCTGCTTTTATTTATTGATCCAGGAGGTTTTATTTTCCTCTATGGAGAAAAAGCTAGAGTTCAACCTGAAAACTCTCAGAATTTTATCGACCTGACTGTTGGTCACAGCTGACTCAGTCGTGGTTTCACTGTTTTGGTGGATAATGTGGAATTTTTTGTTTTTTACAGGATCTTGTTCAAGCCACTGGTTTATTTTTGAAGAATTTTTAAACGAGACACATAGAACACAGTGATATTAATGAACTATCACGTGTTAAAGCTCAGATTTAGTTGATCTTCACTCAACAGGACGTCACAGAGAACTCTCAGAAGGTTGACAGTCTGATCAGTTTCTGCCTTTTTAGTGATTTTTTATTTTTTGGTTCAGAATGAAACAGAATCAGGAGGCTTTAACCTTTGTTGACTTTAAAAATGTCTGATTCAGATTTGTTACCTGCTTCGGGTTTGGGATGCATCAGCCTGAAGGGAACCTCCAGAGACAGCTCACTGTGAACAGAGAGCAGCTGTGAGTCCACATGTTAGCTCAGATACAAACACAGAGTGTGACTGTAGACGTACCTCGATCCAACCATCCTGATGGAGGCCAGCAGCAGAGACAAGAGACACGATCAGTTCACTGACACTCAGTAAAAAACACAACATCTGACGGAGCAGCTTCACTCCTTCAGTTCAGCAAAATGAGCCTCAGACGTTGTTAAATGTCAACACAAAGACAACATGGAGCCTATAA